ATGAAAGGCAGTTGTGAAAGGCCACAGGAGTCAGTGAGTGAAGACGGTAGAGCATAGCAAGCACCAATCCTTTTCCCCTCCTCTGAGAAGATCTCGATATAGAATGCCTGGAATAATCGAAGTCTTACAATGCGAACTCGGCTGATACGAGAGCCTAAGGTATCAATTTTCTATGCTATTTGGGACATGTTTCCTACAAATTTATAAAGGATTACACTTTAGCGTCTATGTGTTTTGGTCCCTGCGATGTTACGGGTAATTAGATATTGTAGACAAGAAGTTTAGATGGGCTTATTTGCGACACGTGACACCCTAATCATAGCCTAAGGCTGGTAAATGTATGATACAAGTCCAAGCCATCGCTAAAGCATGCCTAATGACATCATCTCTTGCATCATCATAAGACTCAACTAGTCTCGGTTTCTTATATGCATTGATTTCGCGTGAAGTGCTTTCTATCCTTCTGTGTATTAACGGACGTTGTCTTCCGGAAAAACTCAGCTACTGGTAACTTCAAGTGTGCGCGCAAAAAATGATATCCTAAGAGTGCTTGTGCTGTGATTAAAGAATGCAACTTTAGCCTAATTCTGCCACTGAAATGGTAAAGTTCTTGAAAAAAGGACGCAAGCGTTATTTCTCAACATGTTCCAGAAAACAATGACGCGGAAAAACGTACGAGAAATTCCACAGCAACGGAGTGCGTTTTGTAAACGACGTAATCTTTGTTGTTGTTAAAAGTTATTCCAACATCTGGCTGAGGTCTGAATTTGGGATTTTTGTCGGAAAGAACCTGAAAGTATAACATCGATTTCAAAGTTCACAGAGCAGAGTCGAAGAAAAAATCAAATGCTTACCGCAACAGAGATTGAAGAATGGCTAGGATAAGGAAGTGCATTAGCATCGTCTTCATCGTCCTCTTCATCCACACCATAACTAAAACTTATGTGAGCACCGCTTCTCTGAAAATTTGTAAGAGATCATCTTATGTAGAGCAGCTTCAAAGTCTTCTAAAATCACTAACTTCCATTTGTTTGGTGCTTACCAAACGTTGACGAACATCCATGGGATTGATCCTAACTGTACAGTTCTTTCGCTCTTTTGCAGACTTATAAAACTTAAGAGCATTCCCATGAAGTCGGAGAAGAATCTGATTCTCATCATCGTACTGTAACCATCCTTCTGACAAGACTTTGTGCCCGGCTATAAATCAAATTTTGAATTGAATGTACAGGTCTTACAGCTTCCACTTACCAAAGTACCCGAAAAGATCTACGTGATTTGCCCTGCGTGTTGTACCCTTATGTTCCGCTTTGATAACACAGCATCGCGGATTGAGAAAAGACTCCCATCTATCTGCAATCACATGTGTAAGTGGTAAAAAATTTGTGATCCCCTGGACCAAGTTTGGAAATGTCCAACAGAAAATTAAGACAGAGTTATACAAAGTCATAAACAGGTAAGAATGAAGCTCGGACACATTTGAAAAAAAAATTAAGTGTTTCTGTGGTGACCGTCGAGAAAATCATAAAGGTGTACGATCTTTTAGCAAAGGCCTTGTTTTGATTTCGAAGTCAAAAATAAAACGATTTCACAGCCAGACAGACACGCACTTGATATACACTACCAAAGAAGCGCTGAAAGCCAGTTCTACACCACGCACAAGTTTCCACCCAAATGGTGATGCACAGTCGTGGTAGTCTGACAGCGTAATCATGAAGTAAATTTGACATTCAAAAGTAAAAGACTGCAAAATATTGCGAAAAATTTACCAAACATCAAAAAATATTCTTACGCCTATCAGCACGGGTGAGGTAGTACGGGCAGGTAGAGGAAAGCACCGGCCAATCTGACCACTGGTGACCCTCGATAAAATCTACTAGTTCGTGCGCGAACGCCAATTTGCACTGGCCGCTGTAGTTGAACTGTGGGTTGCACAGCAGAGAGTGTCGAACATCACATTGACAGTGAACAACACAATGTGCATCAGCGTGCAATACTCACTTCAAACGACGTCGACACTCATTTTAGGGTGGATTTTGGACTATGGTTACGGAGTGGGACACGGCTTCACCTATGATTAGACGCTGCCCCTGCTCGGAACTCAGAAAGTATCCAATGAAATATCGAAAACGGACTTCATCGTCCGTCGTGTCCACGAAACCACGCCAACGAATGCTGAAAAGACATACATAAATTAACTGAAAGATACAGAAACGATGGGCTATCTCGAATATGAATTCTTCTTGGATCATCTAAAAACAAAGACAGCCGTAGAATTTGCAAGACGGTGATATTAACAACGAGGATCAGAAGGAACTCCTTGCTTGAAACTGGCGAAAAATAGCAGAAGACAAATATAGAAAATTTGCAATGCCTCCACCGACATTACACAGAAGACATCCAATTCGACGACAGCCCATCATGTTGCAAATT